GTCCATCAGTGGATCTCACCCATGTCCAACGAATCGGATATGATTTGGTCATTTGCAAAACCTAATTATATGATGCCATGGAATCCAGAAAACTATACTATTCCCGTTCAAAGTCTTCTCAAGCGCAAATCCGACGGTGTTGTTTTACAAGTTATGAATATCTTCAACTATCAAATCACACTTTCTAGTACAGCGTTTGTGCTTCCGAGCGGAATTTTCTGCGAAAATCTAGTACCCGCTGACGATCTGTCCAGTTTACAGGATGTCGGTATGAATTTTCCCGACAGATTTAGAGTCCGTATTGATGCTTCCAGTACATCACAGCTTCTTTGGCATTCGGTGAATTTTCGATATTATTCATCGAATGAAGACAAATTCATTCGTTATGATTATACGCCATTTGATAACACTAAAAATCCAGTCACGATTATCATTGATTATACGCAAGGTGCATCACGTTCGTACAAAATTGATCGTCGAACTGGTTCGTGTGTAATAAATGATTCTGTTGAAGTCGTCTTAGCGACATCAATTTTACATAATCCCATCGAGACGTTGATTAAATATCAGAATTTACTTATTACGAATCCGCCACATCGGATGTTTCAATCGACAGGATCTCGTGCATGTCGTGGATCAATGAACTGTTCGACTCTTGTTGGACAAATACCTCTATTTCCACCCGATACTCAAGACGAGTGGTTAAAAACAGATGTCGAATGGGCTTGGTCAAAACGAAACATCGACGTTCCCTCCTCTCCCTACGATTATCCGGTTTCTTTGAATTTGAATCTTTACAAAAACACCGGTGGACCACCTGCAAACGTCCATTATGAGTTCTATGATTATAGTACAAACGTTTATTTGAACGAGTTTGACGTTAACTTGTGCTATCGATCTAACCAACTATGGTATAACCATTTAGCATTTAAACTTAAAATAACTGGTCAGCCAACATCCGACGGTCTGGAAAGTAGCACAGTTCATCGGTAATTTCATCTCTTAGAATATAACTACATTGATAGATTTGCTTTCTAGACGTCATTTAGCACAACGTCTCCGTGAACAGATAAGAAGCATTACATCAGTGAAACTATCTCGAATATCTCAACTCGAACTTGATCATCATTCAAAACAAGCTGGCCATAACGATACTCTCTATTGTATATTTACTCTTCTTGATCGTACACCTTTTGTTCCTCCTTCAAGTGAAATTGAATTACTCGATGCTCAATCGAAACTCGAACAAGCAATTAACGCTGGAACATTTCAACTAACAACAGAAGAAGGTCTATCAGTCGAAGCTATTCCGAATTCTCTAGAAGATGTTCAGTATTTCTATGTATTTAATCCAAATGCAAGTGTAAATTCAGTCGATTATTTCCACAATACAACTGTCCATGTCAATCGAACAATAACAGAATATATTGATGAAGTTCAAGAAAAAATTCAGTATTCCGATGGCGCACAGGCAGGTGCTGTTCTCGGCGGAATGGGTGTTGGAATTTTAGCAGGTGTCTCAATTGTTCTTCTCGTTGGATTTTTAATTAGAAGAAAAGTGAATTCTTCTGCTAAAGGTGGTCTTACGTTTCGAAATATTAGTTTTCGAGTTCGAAATCATCACACACAAGAAGATGAAGAAATTGTTACAATGGAACATTCGGTATCTGGTAGAGAAGACATATCAACATAAGTTTGAAAAGTAAATTTTCTTATGATTGACTTGAACAATAAAATCCATTGTATAATCAAAAGTTTTCTGGTTCGTCATTGAATTATAATTCGACCTTAAAATAAATGTTGAAGTGTCTTGTATTTAAAATTAGGATGAAACCCGTATGACAGAAAGGTAAGACAGTGCGAAGGAGAGCACATATTACAATAAGCTCTTCGAGAAGCATAATCTTTCGAAGGTATCATCCTTTTTTTTCATGAACATAAACAAGAAATATAGAGAAGAGTAAATTTCAGATGCAATCTATTAGAATACTTCAGACCGGAAAATCTGCGCATGATTCTCTTCGACAAAACTATGCAGCGGAATAATAAACTACTTATTATCTTCGACTAAAGTCAAAGCGGTAGAGTTATTATTCACGCATTTGTCAGATTTCATCGTTGCAAGAATGCTCGGCGAAGTCAGCGATATATGCATGCATATCAAATGCTGTGATTCTTCACCATCACTGTGTAAAATCGGGGCGCTTTCTTATTCAAATTTGAAATATAATCTATGATTCATATTTCAAATATTTTTTCGTGTTTTTCTCCCATTATACTTCGATTGATTTATTTCCAAGAGTCGTTGACTTACAGGTAATCAGTTTTTTTTCTTCAAACAACTGCTGTGGCAAGATGTTTTCGTTGTTAAGCATCAAAATGACGTACGGGAGAACTTTATAGTATGATTAATATTTTATTAGAGTAACTCTGATAAGAGATAGAGATGCGAAACACACACCATCTTTTTTAATAAAAGTAGTAAGCATCATCTTTTTTCTCCTTCTTTTTTTTACGAGAGATGCGTCATTCATTCCGTCGAACTGAGTATCAGCGCCCTCTGACGTCATTTTCTTATGACGGCAAAAATGATTCACTGAGAAAGAAACAAAAAGCTTCATACACATACGAAACACAGATATTGTGCATGTCTCAGATGATAAATAAATAATCGAGATTAGATGAGTAACTGACTAGAAGAATTCTTGCAGCCTTATTCGTTTTAAATAAACAATTAGCCTTGTATTGCTTCGCGGAGACATCAATTCTTTTCTTTTCCCCTCACACTATTACATTCCTTCCATTGCCATTGTTAACTTGCACTTCAGATTGAAAGTTAAACAAAAATGGGTTGTGCTCTTGGCGCAGTAAGTTCTACCACGTAATAATAATATAAACAAACAATAATGTTTTTCGTTTGTTTTTTTTTTCATCATAGCTTGGCTGTTGTTGTGGTTCAGCAGCGTGTAGCCTTTGCTGTGCTTGCTGTCCGTCGACACGGAATTCATTGGTCACACGCTTAGCTTATGGCGTACTTTTACTTGTCGGAATGATTACTTCATGGATTTTCCTGATACCTGGCTTAGCGCATACACTTGCGAAGGTAGAAGAGTCGATCAATTGTGTAGAAATGTGATTGTTTCTTCTTTAGATTCCAGCACTGTGTAAAGGCGGGACAATTAGCGATTTGGAGATCTTTGAAGGACAAATTGAATGCGACAAAATTGTTGGTTATTTAAGTGTATATCGTATTCAATTTTCTTTTGCATGCTTTTTCTTTCTCATGATGATTTTAATGTTATGTGTGAAACGATCAAAAGATCCGCGAAGTGCAATTCAAAATGGGTATTTACAAACTTGTACTCATGGAGACGTTTCTTTATTGAGCTGATTCTAGATTTTGGTTTTGGAAGATATTAATTATCATTGGTATTTGTATCGGAGCATTTTTTATTCCAAACCAAGGGTTTGCACCGAGTAAAACAATTGATTTCTCAACATTAATTTGGTCATTGTTCGCTTTTTTTTAAAATTAGCTCTGATGGTGATTGGAACAATTTGCGGATTTTTATTCATATTAATTCAATTAATTCTTATCATTGATTTTGCCCATAGGTGTGTAGAAAATATCTATATAAATAGAATTTCAAGCATTTCAGATTTTCTTTTTTCTATTCGTAGTTGGAATGAAAGTTGGGTTGCCAGAGGTGAAGATGGTAGTAAAAAGCACTATGTTGGTTTAATATTTTTCACTGCGTCATTCTACATCCTATCGATTGTCGCAGTCGTCCTTCTCTATGTTTACTATGCATCAAAAACATCTTGCGGCTTGAATATATTCTTCATCACGATCAATTTGGTCTTATGTATTGTTGCTTCAGTTGTTTCGGTCTTACCAGTCGTTCAAAATTACCATTCGACTTCGGGTTTATTGCAATCATCGTTTGTTACGTTGTATGTGATTTTCTTGACTTGGTCAGCGATTACGAGTGAAAAACCAGGTATGGAACAAAGTTCAGAAGAGAATATCGACACGTGAATACGTTATTTAGATCCAACATGCAATCCGTCATGGTATGGAGTGATTACGAATCAAAATTCGACTGCCATTGAACCGAGTGGAAATGGCTCGGTTGGTGTTTCATCGATTGTAGGATTAGTCATCTTCTTCGGACTGATTATTTATTCAGCGTAAGAATGTGACAGGCAAATGAATTTCTATGAAGTAAAGCGTACGTACTTTTAGTCTCACAAGTACGACTAAATCATCAGGTGGTAAACTATTGGGTATATCGGGAAATGAAGAAACTGGAGCGCCAATTCCTGATACTGGTAAGTACAAATTGAATGTATGGAGTTTATTAATAGAATGCGCTTTTTTTACATTCTAATAGAAGGTGGCCAAAGTTACGATGATGAAGAACAATCGGTGGCATATAACTATTCATTATTTCATTTCATGCTTTTCTTAGCATCATTCTATGTGATGATGACATTAACAAAGTAAATTAAGGTTTACAAACGTTGTCTGAGTGTTCATTTACGCTTTTTTTTAGTTGGCTGAAACCGACGAATGATGTTTATAACTTTCGACAAAGCGAAGCAGCTGTTTGGGTAAAAATATGCTCATCGTGGACATGCTTAGTACTTTATATATGGTCTGTTATTGTCCCATGTATTTGCCGCAATAGAGATTTCTCGTGAATGTTTTCATAGAAACTGAACTTCTGTTTCTTCCCTGAATGAGCATTTTTCTTTTCTTTGAGAATGTATTGTATAAATCTATCTATCTATCTATTCATAGGTGTGTAAGTAACCAGAGAATACTTTCTTTATTACCTTAGATATTGTATTGTTCGTCATATGTACATCTTTCTTCATATACATATATGCATTCTATCTCTTGAGAACTTCTAATCTCTTTTTTCGTTTTTTTTTGACATTATATAAATAAATAAACGAAAAAGAAAACAATAAGAACTAAAAAATAAACTATCGAATCATTCAACATTTTTTCTCGGTAGTTCTTCTTCATCGTCTGTCTCATAACTACTATTATCATCATCGTCGTCGTCGTTGTCGTCGTCGTCCTCCTCATCATCGTCTGATGAGAAATCTATTTCCGCGCCTGGAAATATGTACCGCCTTGGTGGACAATAGACATATGATGACTCGTCATTAAATACTGAAGAATTCTTCAATGATGAGAAGATCTGTTTCGGTGAAGATGATGTTTCAGTCGTTAAAAGTTCCGACTCGGATGAAGGTTGTTGCTGTTGTTGATCATCATTATCTGTTGAAAGCTTTTGTTTTTTCCTTTCGGGTTCTTGTGTCGGTAAGAAATTTTCATAAGGAATTTCTTTCAAAAATTTCTCTTGTACATTTTTAATTTGTCCAAATACTGGATCGATTTTGCTTAATCGAGAACATATTTCATTGATAATCACATCACAGTTCCCGAGTAATTCGATATCGAATGTTTTATGTGGCAATCGTTCACGATTAATGAGAATCTGTGGGATGTCACTCGATAATAATTCTGATACGAGCGAGACTGGTTTCACTTTTAAACTTGAACCCATCACAATTAAAAGATCACATTGGGTTTTATCCAGAGATATAGCTTTGTGAAAATCATCTGGTAGTTGTTCACCGAAGAAAACAATGTCTGGCTTAAGAATAGCATCCGGTCGATCTGTAGGACATTTGGGGCAGTGTGGAATCTTTTGTTGTAGAATTTCTTCTTTGATTTCGTCACTTTTCACTGAATGATGACAGACACGGCATGTGGCACTTGAGAACGATCCATGGCATTGGATTAATCGTGTGATTGGGCATAGATGTTCTAATGAATCGATGTTTTGAGTATAATTTCTCAATAGTTTATCTTGTCGTTCGAGTTCGCTGATAAAATGATGAGCTAACGACGGCTGATACTGCCCGGGCCAGATTTCTTTGGCAAAGCGAAAAAATGGTCGAGGATCGTCAGTGAAATATTCAATATCAAACATTGATTGAGGATTCGGTAGTTCAGGAAATTCTTCACGTAAACGAGCATAGATACCATTCCGAGAACGAAAATCAGGAACTAAATCACAAGCAGATTCGTATGCAAATTTCTCCGATGAGACAGAGTACTTACTTCCACAGCTAACTGATATACCAGCACCAGTTAGAACAAGAATATTTTTACGGGTACGTATCAGTTCAACTGCATCGTCGATGGTTTTATATTGTTCGAGTGCTTTTCGTTGACGAATCGGTAGAAAGAGATTCATGAGAATCTCGTACATTGTCGATTGAGAAACATCCTGAGGTAAGCCGGGTATGATCCGAGAAAGAAACGGATGTAGATCTGTGCCAGTACGCATTTGTTCATCGAGCCATTCGAAGGTTAAATCAAACGGAAAGTCGTCATCGTCGCTATCAGAATTCGAATTATTTTCAGAGTTTGATGATTCGTCTTTTGCTGATGATTGAATAGGAATTTCGATAATGTGATTCGATGCATCTTCACGGAGAATTGCTGGCTTTTCAGATTCTTCAGCAGGGCCCAAATCAACGGGTGGATCTGATGACATCTGAATTTGGATCTCTGTTAGTTTTTGCTTCTCTAGTTTGTACCAAAATAATGAATGTATGTATGTATGTATGAGTGACCTGTTCCAGAGAATCAATCAAGAGGATTTGCTAATGAAAGATTCACAAATAATTTCATTTCGCTTTTAAAATATTTTTCATGGAGAAAATTCATTAAAATTCGAGAAATATTTTCATTTGAATATAAAAACAACTAACGACATCTATACGTAGAATGAAAGAGGTTGTTGCTAATACACATTGCCTGACTCGAACAATATCGATGGTAGACATTCAAGCGTTGAATATTTGGTTCATACTACAAAGAATTGACAAATGGCCGAAAAAGATCTCTTTACTTTAGTAAGCAATTAAGGTTGAATTTATTAAATTCAAACTGATTTCTCCGTATTTAGAGCAAGATTTTCTACTATGTTCGTGAAAAGTATTACAATCAAGCATATATAACAGCAAATGAAGCGTTGAAACGCTATGTTAACGATGGTCTATTGAAGTTCTATTCGGCAGTAGCCCAACTTATGAATGGTAACTTGACTAGGCTCTACAAAACGAGCAAGAAAAAGCTTTTTTCGTTTTCCGAACATTCTAGGACGTTTAAACGAGTCAATGCGTGAATTGGAACAACTACGTAGCAGACCAGAGTTAACCGTTGCTGCACTTCTAGCATTAATTCATGCTCATAAACAGCATAAAAATCCAGGTATACATCTGTTCAATCAATTTTTTGTAATCATTTCCCGTTGATTTCATGTAGATCGTGAAGCAATAACTGAATATGAAGTCAAAGTCAAAGAATTACGTAAACAAGTGGATGATATGGTAAACGAGATACTCTGCTTACTATGTATTGGAAAATCTAGTATTTCTGATATGTAGGCATTGTTTTTTGCCGCGCATACACTGTACATTATCGGTAAACCGGAGAAAGCGACCGAATACATTGATCGAGCAACCAAACAAAACGCATCGAACCCTTTGGTAAAAAGCAAAAGATTCTCCTGTTGTACTTAACATATGTCGATATCTTTTCCTAGGCTTTAAGCTTGAAAGGTTGGATTTTAATTGCAACAGATGTTGCAAAGGAATCAAAACAATATTTCGAAGCTGCTTTGAAGTAATCAGATTCGAGTTTGTTTTCTAAACTTTGATTTTGATCGATATAGACTGGAAGGCACTTTTCCCGATGCCGCGTTTGGTTATGCCAAGTATCGTGAAATTCGATCGAACTTTTCTCAAGCACTGGAATATGTTAATCGAGTGTTAGCAGTCAAGAGCGATTATTTGCCAGCAGTGTTAGAAAACATGAAGCTGCAACTATGTATGCAAGATTGGGAACAATGTGAAGACGTCGCTCAAAGGTAATTTTATTAGACAATACAAATTGAAGAAATGTCAGTTTGTCTGCATCATGAATAGAGCATTTCGCATTGATTCCAATTGTGTCGAAGCACACGAATACCATTACTTGTATTTAGTATGCAAAGAAGGCAATTATAGTGATGTAAGTCATATCAAATAAGCGGGACTTTGATTGTGTACAGAATTCATTTCATAGGCTCAAGAAGCATTCAATCAACTGGTACAAGCAATTGATATATCTGAACCAAAAGGTGCTTGGCAATATTATGAAATGTCTCAAGTCGTCGCTAGAGTAGTATGTATAGAGAATTTCTTGTGTGATTGGTGATGAAAAACAATATTTCTAGTGTGGACGAAATCCGCAAATACTTCAACATAGTAATGCACTGCTTCAACATGCTCTCGAACTCGATCCATCAAATACGGATTATCTCATTGAGGGTGGTTGCCAAGCACTGATGGCAGATAAAATTAATGATGCTATTAAATTTTACAAAAATGCAGCTAAAACACAATCGGATAATCTCGAAGCTGTTTACGGTTCGTTAGCACAGTATAATAAACAATGAGTTTCTCAATAAACAATATTTATAGGGGTTATTCACTGTCAAATACTGGAAGGAAAGTTTGGTGAAGCCAAACAACAGCTTGAGTTTCAAAGTGAAACACAAACAGGAAATGCTGCTGTAAGAAGAAATTGATCGATTTTGATTATTTAGGATTGGAATTTCTCTTGTAGGAGTTGACACATCTCAAAGCTCTTCTGGCTAAACATGAGAATGTTCTACCAAGTGATCAAATTGTACAATTATTTGATACAGCCGCTGAACAACATTTTAAAAATCTTCGAGTTGGTGTTTAGTTCTTTTTCAAGATATTTTCATTGAATATTCTTCTCTTCGACAGGGTTTACCACTAGGCAAAAAGTATCTTCTATGTTTAAACCCAGATTTCATTCTCGAAATTATCCGTGAATATATGAATAACACTTCATCGAAGGTATTGATGATAATCGACTGAAACTATAACATTTTGTTGCATTTAGCCTGTTGAACCTGGTCAAGCTCTCGATTCATCCCTTCGAAAAACGAATGCGATTTTAGAACAATTGACAAAAGCTGTACCCGGTTTGCTCGAAGGTTTATTTCTCTTAGCCAAAGTGAAATATCTTTGCGGAGATACGGCTGAAGCGAAAAATGTCCTTCGTCGAATTATTGATCAAGAAGCCACATATTCCGATGCATATATTCTTCTAGCGCAAGTTTATACACGTGAAGGAAATATTCATTCAGCATACGATGCTTTAGAAAATGGTTTATCATACAATTTCGAATTGAAAAGTCATCCAATTTATCATTTAATCCGCGCACGTATTCTTAAAAAAGAACAGAAATATGAAGAAGCTTGTAAATTGTTACAAAGTGCATTGAGTCTAACCGGAATGAAAAAACGTAAAGAACCTGAAACAGCCCGAACGCCACGAATGAAATCGGACGCGAATGCGTCGAGTGTACAAATTTCCACTCAAGATCGTGTTAGTGTCTATCTTGAACTAGCAGAAATACAACTCCTACTCAATCGTGTTCATGAAGCGAGCATTCTTTTACAAGAAGCTTCATCCGAATTTCAAGGTACAAGTGAAGAATCGAGAATTTTACTAACAAATGTGGATTTGGCTTTGAAACGTGGTGATATCAACCAAGCTATCGATACTCTAATGCAAATAAAATCTGACCAGTCCTGCTATGTACAATCACGAGAGAAACTGGCAGAAATTTATTTAAAACATCGTCGAGATAAGAAGTTATACATTAAAACTTACAAGGAATTAGTAGAACGAGATCCAACACCTCAAGCGTTAGTCATTCTCGGAGATGCGTATATGAGCATCATGGAGGTTTGTCGAATTACATTTTAATTTCTGCTAGAATGCAATATTCTCTCGTTTTCTTTAAGCCGGACAAAGCCATTGAAGTTTATGATGCTGCACTTCGTCAGAATAATCGTGATGTAGCATTAATGAAGAAAATTGGCGAAGCTTACATTAAAACTCATGCATATACAAAAGCGATTAAATATTACGAAGCGATCGTGAAAGCTGAGCCTCAAAGTGAACTAAGGTTTGACGGAAGAGAAATCAAATAGTTCGTCTCATTCCTTTTCTTCATTTAGAATCAATCTTGCTGATCTTCTCAGTAAATTAAATCAAATTGAACTTGCACAAAGAATTCTCGATCAACTGCTGAAAGAAGAAGGTAGTTTTTTTTTCTTTGATGTTTTTCATCACGCAATGCTCATTTTAGTTCCCAACTCGAATTTTCAACATGCACAACAAGTAACTAAAGCCTACGAAATCTATGCGAACATCTACGAACAAGTGAAACAATTCGAAGAGGCTAAACAGTATTTAATCAAAGCTAAAGATAACCAAAAGAAATTACTCAAACGAATTCAACTGGAAGAAGGCGAACTTCAGAAAGAAAATCAAAAACTGTACTGCAAGTATGTCTGAATAAGTCTTTGAAGAAATGAGATCTGTATTTTTGTACGTTATAGCATATGTTATCGATTGGCAACAATGTATTTCGATGAACATAATTACGAATCGGCAATCAAAGATTTGAAAGAAGCTAGTGCGATTGATGATCGAAATTTAAAAGTTAGTTTTTCACTGGAATTCTGAAGTGTTTGTCAATGGCGGTCTGCTTTAGGTGCAAATGATGTTAGCGAAAGCATATCTCAACTCAGAACAATACGATTTATGTGAACAAATCTGTAATTATATGAACAAATCGTTTCCGAATGATAATTCAGTACAAATTGTAAGTTGTTTGTTGGAACACAAAAGACAATCACATATTTTTGGCTACATGGATAATTTCTAGATGATGGCAAATTACTTATTACGGAAGAACGAAATTGAAAAAGCAATTCAACAGTACAAAGATATTATCGAACGCAATCCGAGTAGAGAGATTCGATTTTCATTAACTGAACTTATTTGTCCATTTAGATAATTTCGATCCGTTCGTGCAAATGACTAAATCATTGTATCGCGCTGGACGTATAGATGAAATTAGTGAAATTTTAGAAAAAACCGAAAAGAGTAACTCACGAGCATTTAATGACGCGGCGTTCAACTTTGCAAAAGGCTTACTATCTTAGTAAATGAACCAATCACTGAAAGAATCGAGTATTTCACTTTTCATTTCTAGTTATTCGTGTAAACCAAGTGAAGCTTTGTCTTGTTTCAATAAATGTCGTCGTGACAAACAATATGGCCGGCAAGCTATTTATGCCATGGTTAAAATTGTCTTAAACCCTGACAATGAAGTCATAGCCAGTGAAGAAGATTGGAAAAGAAGATTACACGGGTATGTGCAATTGACCACTATCGACTGTCTAGATCTTGATTATGCTCTGGTCGTTTAGCTCTCGATCAGATGAAGCAAAAAGTGCACAGACAACAGCATTCAATCTTTTACAAGTCGGTTATTGTTTTCAATTCTGATAGTTGACAATCATCGTCTTTTTGTAGAGTATGGGTGAAGCATCAAATGATGTCCGATATCGTGTATTTGAGAGCTGGTGTTTGGCTCATACAAATGAAAAGCATAGTCTTCAGCAAGCAGCTGACAATTTAACACAGATTCTCAATGATCATGTAATGGTTTTGTTTGCATATACATGTTTGATGAATCTTCGTCTCGTTTCAGAAAGACAATATTGGTGCATTATGTGCGATAAGCGAATGTTATATTGGATTGAAAGACGTCCCAAAAGCACGACAATATTTGAAAAGAACAGCGAAGATGACTTGGAATATGGATGACGCTGACGAGATCGAACAATGTTGGCTCATGCTTGCCATGACTTATGTACAAACAGCAAAATATGATCAAGCACTTGAACTATGTAAAAAAGTGTTGAGTGTTAATAAGGTACAATGAGAGAAATCGTTTCTTATAATTAATTTTCTTTGTCTATTCAATAGTGTTCAACACGAGCATTGGAAACGTTAGGAGTAATGAATGAACAAACAGGAGCCACTAAAGATGCTGCAGAGAATTATGAACAAGCATGGAAGTACAGTCGAAAAAATCAACCGACAATAGGTAATGCTCTGCAAAAACTATTAAAATGCACTTTACGGCTCAAGATCAAGAAGAGAAATAGAAAATACTATATTCATTTTCAGGCTTCTCTTGAAATATATTCAGTCATACTAAGCTTTCATAAATTGAATAGAAAGGCTTATGTTGAGCTGGTGTTGCTTGCTCTCTTTTTTCGAAAATAAAGAATGAACGTCACCAGTGAAACGTTGATAGCGATCATGAGAAAAAAAGAGATCTATCAAGCATAAAATCTGTTTGACAGTATCTTAATAACTAATCTTTGTCAAGTGAACTCTCAATAATTGTTCTCATTTTCAATAGGTTACAAACTCGCATTGAGTTATCTCAAGTCCAAACGATTGACGGATGCTATCGATATCGCACATTTTGTAAGTATCCATTTGAAGTAATCTGTGTTTTCATCATTATAGTGATAACTCGTGTATTCTCTTTAGATTCTTCAACGATATCCAGAGTACACACGTGTTCGAAAAGATATTCTTGAAAAAGCACGTCTAGCTCTCAAATAACATTGTTTCAATTTCTTTTTTTTTTCTTCAAATAAAAGAAAAACACTTCTTGTTCTCCTATACACATATACTTATTTATTTAGCTTTACACGATCTATCTATAAACATTGAATACGAATCCTTAGGATAGAAGACATTGTTGCTTCTTGCGTTGTTTCATTTGGGGATATTTTCCAAGTCCTGCCCGAATGGCAATATCGAAAACACGTGCTAGATTCTTTTGTGTCAATGCTGAACATTCAATATAGGCGACAGCACCAATTTCCTGTGCCATTACTGAACCTTTTTGTGTCGTGATTGGTGTTGATTTTCTCGCCTAGTATAGAGAAAAGAGAGAAAGTGAAAATATCGAACTAAATATTGAACTTCCTACTAGAAGTTTTTCGACGGTATGTTTATCGTCGCGTAAATCTAATTTTGTCCCGACAAGAACAACTGGTGTGTCCGGATTATTATGTTTGATTTCGGGTGACCATTTGGCGCGAACGTTATCAAAGGAAGCAGGATTCACAACACTGTAACACACGAGAAATACATCAGTTTGAGGGTAAGACAACGGACGAAGACGATCATAATCTAAATTGGAAATGAATTTCACTCCAATGATATTCAAATCGATCGAGTCAAATATATGTACCTTCTTGACCAGCCTAAGAGAAACACAAGACGAAATAAAATAGAAAATGAATATCAAGAAAGTATGTTTTACCGTATCCCATAAGCCGAGATTAACTGGTTCATTATCAACCATCATATTTGCGGAATAGTTGTCAAATCTAATACAAAAATTTCCCGTTTTGAATTTTTGTAGGAATAAGTGACTCCAACTTACACTGTTGGAATATATTCACCCGGACTAAAATTTCAAAATTGTATGATTAACAGAGTATCATAGTGAAAAAAGATACTTACAAAGCATTGGTGGTATATGACATAAGTAAGCATGTTTTTCCGACCGCTCCATCACCGACGACGACGCATTTCACATTTCGGTAGATACTCATCCGTAGCAATGAATTTGGCTAATCTTTTTTTAGAGAAGTCACACGAGTTGTTCAATTAGAGCAACAAGAAAAAAAGCTTTTTTCCCTGCAGTTCACACATTAATTCTGAAGAAAAAAAAAGGGGGAAAAAAGATGGATATGTGTATATATATATACGAGTGAATATGTTTGCATTTTTATTCTGCTCGTTCTGCAGTCGTGAGAGTTCATCGTTCTACGGCTCGTTTGTCCATCATCGAACGCGAGCAAAGAGACGGTCAAACGAGTAGACACGACCGATTCCTTTGCAGTAAATTCTATTCATTGTGAATGACTTTTTTCGCTCTCGGACAAGACCATACATCTGTTCTCTTTCTCTTTTTCTCATCTAACGATCCGCCTACTAGAAAATGACTCTTTTTTTTGCAACAACTAGCAGCAAGACGAAGCAGATGATAGACTATAAATCAATGATGATCGATCAGGGCCAATGATAATTTCTCATAAAAAATCACTTGAAAGCAAATGGAACCTTTGCATTGAAATCCTCCCTACTAACTGATATAGACTCGCAATAACAAAGACGAGTCTTCGCACTACTCTCCATGATTAAAACAACAAATGAATCTATGAACGACGACAACGTATTCTAATTTAATTGTACAGGGTGTGTCAAATAGTCGTCTGAAGAAACTCATTTTGTTGTCATGTCGATTTATACGTACACTGTTAAGAATAGCCTTGCGCGTCAGTGTTCTCTATGCTAATCAATGATTTTAGTAGACTGATTGAACTCGAATTTTGATTTTACGCTTTGATTGATTTGAAATGCTAACACAAGTCGTGACAATCTACACGAGAGAATCCCGTGCTGATATTTCGAAATGGATCCTGTTTATACGAACAACAGACAAATCGAAGTATTACTTTGGATCCTATGACGCACTGCAGTTAGTCATTGTCATGAGAAAACAACGAAGATGCTCGTTGCTTTTCATACCAGGAATAACTTTTCGCATAGCATGATCGGTATTACTCAGTGGTATGAGTAAAATCATGCAGATATTGATTTATTTTTCTTTGTTATCTTACAAATCAATACTGATCGACGTTTTTCTACAATGACGTTATCTTTTTTTCTCGGTGATTCTCTCGTTTTTTTTGTGTTATTTGCAAATATTATTGAAAACCGATATTCCGATCTTTCTCTATTTTCACTAAAAATCCGTCGAATAAAAAGACTCACTCATCGCCTAGTCTTATCATTTTTCATCTGTTATACGTGTGAGAAACATGCATCGATATCAACAACAATTACTCTGTTTCACTTTATTTCTTGCATTAACATATGCAGAATTGAAAATCACTAGTTTTAAATCGCATGCTGATAAAGCTGGTGTTTACGATACGCGTGTCGAGTGAGTTTAGTCACTAATTTGACTTCTCTATCTGTACATTCACTCTTTTTAGCTTAGAAGCAGCGATCACCGATTGTTTAAATTGTAAGTGTGAAGTGCACATCGATAATGCATTCGACCCACCCACCCAAGTCATATTGGCGGCAGACAAAAAAACTGGCACTTCAACAGTTTCACATCTCAAGCCACATACCACTTACAAATTCATTTTAACCTGTAAAGAGCCCGTAGACGGAGCGAAAATAGTCGACGCAAATTTAGAAATCAAAACAGATTTCGACCGTCCTTTAGCTCCTCTCAATATCTCATGTGATTTTCCTACAGGTCTCTTAAAACCTCTATTTAGATGGCAATCTTCTCCAAGCTACCCTTCGAATCCAAGCATTACTTACAAAATCGTAGTCGATGAAAAGGAGATTGTCAGTACGGGAAACACAGTATATGCAGGACCGCATGACTATGAACAAAAAACTGAGCATACATATAATGTGTTTGCATGTTATGAAAATCATCAAAAAGTTACCCTTTGTTCAACTGATAATGGCCTTAAAAAACGCTTCACAGTGCCTGAACTGCTTACAACAACAACAACAACCACCACTACTACCACTACTACTACTACTACTACTACTATTACTACTACAAGCACAACGACAACAGCCGAAGCTTCATCTGCTACCTTTTCCTATACCATCTCTATCGCTATGCTCATCTTTTCTCTTTTCTTGTGTATGCAAATGAAATAATATCAAAAAGACAATATTACCAACCATTCATTCTATTTGTTTTCTTTTCTGAATTCGCAATAAAATATACTTCAACCTATCGTTGCCGCTGCATACAGCTTCTTTTTCTATTCAAAATCTGATTGAAATTAAGAAAAGAAGAAGTTTATTTTGTCAATCTTTCTCTCATCACTTGTTTTTCAAAAAAGCCAAAGCTACAACTAGAACGATTTTGTACAAATAGATATTCTTTTTCTCTCTGTTGCAAATAAAACAAGTGCACATAGAATAAGTTCATCTCGTCGTCAAGAAATCTCAAAAGAAAAAAAAATGGGGACAAGTGTAAAATAAAAAGAAACATGTATCATAATCAACAACGAAGAGAATACACTTGTACATTGTGTTTAATCAAGAAAAATAAAATAAAAGTAAAGACTACAAACAAATGCATAGGAAATAAGATGAAAAACGAACGAAAAATCATGTATTCTTGTTCTTTAGACCCATTTTTTCCAATTGCTGCCAAAGATTGATTCGTTCTTTTTCTTTAGTCACCGATCTATAGTCAAACAAACGAAATAACTCTGAAGAAGAAACCCGGAAACTAAACCTACTTTTCCTCTTCGATTCGCATTGCATTTAGCACATCATCACATAGTTTCTTATTGATGTCCATCAAATTTTTCAATAGATTGTATGCCAATGTTATGATATTTGTATTCCAATGCGATTTCGATATTCGACATAATGGCGGAAGTAGCACAGGTAAGATTTGCTCAATATTTTCCTCAATCATTTGAACAACGTATTCATTCGACCATAAAGCTAGAGAACGTTCAGCTACCTGGAAAAAAACAAGTTTGAATGAAATGTATTGTATGTACACCGACGCGATTGGTTACTTGAAAATGTGATGACGTGGCTGATCGTGTAATTTGTTTGAAAAGTGGTATACAGACAATTTTAAACACTTGTCCATCGATGATATCAAGAATCTCTTCTAGTTCGTTGAGAAACAAAATCTAGAGAAAACATCGGGTCTTGAGGGTGAAAACAATGAGTATATCTATACTTCTTTGACAGAACTTGTCTTTGGCCAGTATTTGAGCAAACCTTTGATAATCAATTCACCTAAAGATGTTTCTTTTTCGATGAATTGTACAATACAATAGGTTAACTAAAAAGATACAAGCAATATAGAAAATTGAATGTTAAATAATTCTACTTTTCTTACTTGTGGATGGAATAAAGCTAATGAATGAGTTTTATGCAATGGCATTAGCACACGTTCGAGAAATACTTTATGTTCTTCCTTTAATGGCACTGCAAATCCGTTGATAATACTAAAAGGAATGAAAATGAATCCTCTTCATACAAGTTATCCAATGTAATTAATATACCTTCCAAGAATTTCAAGTAGTTCAGCAACACCATTGAATCGTTCGTATTCATACACGTACCTACAAGGAGGAGGAGGAAGTATCGATAAAAACGCTTTCATCAGACGATAGAAAACGTGGAAAGTTAGAGAAAACGATCACTAATGCGTTATTAATAAAGTTTGACAACTGAGACGCTAGATGTGTTTTCTTTCACAATTCAGATCAATTCTTCCGGACTAGTTGTTTCGTATTAGTTCAATGAGAAGATGCATACCTTAAAAAGATATTATTAATTTGTTTTCGAATGAAAGCTCGGAGGCCAAGGAATTTTCCATAGATTCGATGAAGAATCGTTTTCAAGAAATCTCTTTCACGCAGATCTTCACTGTCAAACAGTTCCAATAACTAAAGCAGAAGAACTTCTTTCTTTCAATAACTTGTCTTCGATCATTACTTGTAGGACAAACTTCTGATCGATATATTTCTTAGCTAAACTGGGCTGAAAATCAACCGATTCCAAAAATCGTAAGAAGAATTCGTAGACGATTTGCGTATGTGGCCAAGACGCTTCCAATGTTGGCTCGTCTTCTTCAGCACCAGCATCATCAGATAGACTATCAACACCTGTTGGCGATAAGACACGAAAAAGATTTGTCGATACCTGGAAAACAGAAAAACATGTGTTTTCGTTCGACAATACGAAAGTCATCTTGCGAACCATAAGAATCACTTCGGGATAGATATTCTCCGTCAAACAGTTCCTTGCCACAGTTATGTAATCGACAATTTCATTGAGACAAGCACGTTTGATTTCTTTGCTTTTCAGATCACTCACACAATCAGAAAAATCGAATATAACCGAGCATTGTCTTAATTTATCGATGAATAGTTTCTCCTGTTGATCAATCGGTGCATCTACGCAAGTAAAAGAAAAGTCATTATTATTATTCACCTTTTAAACAAATACAATTGTGAGTTGTACGCATGAAACCTGATCAAATGAGTAACCTTAGCAATTCAATGTCAATGAAAGATCAACGAATGTTTTGTTAATTTGGAATGTTAATGAGAGAAGAATATTACATTTGATGAACCGACTAACTCGACTGTACCTTTTAACAATGGTAGCGCTTCGAGTTCTTGCTGGAGATTTTTTTGTCCAAGACGCGACGATTCTTGCAAGCGTTTCTTTCGTGAGCGAATCGTTTGTTTTTTAGAAAATGGATCGTTATCTGCTACATTCAATGCCATTTTTTTACATTGATATTTCTGAAAATGAAGAAATTTGTCAAAGAATTCGAATATTTACATATATCAGACATATTACAAATAATAAAGTTTATCAATTAGCATAGAATAACATTTTCTTCTTTTTAGTTGTCAAGATCTAATCCAATATAAACTAGCAGGCTAGATGTCGTTAAATTATTTCAGTACGTTCGATGGATACTATAGTCGCAGAACGGCAACTGAAGTGGAACGCTTCTCGAAGAGATATAGTCGTATCGAACAATATGATAAATCAATAAAACAGATGACATGATAAGAAACTCAAATCACTAGTTACTGAGACGGATTTGACGACTTACCTTTTGTTTGGTTTCCGTTGAAATAGCTTTGTTAAATCTATATTTGCTCTTCCTGTCGATAACAAAAAAAATCAAATGAATTTCCAAATTTCTTTCGATAAACTACTATGAAAGTCAAATACTTTACTTCATGTCACTAGTTTTATTTAACAGTTGCTTCTGAAACCGATCCGTTGGATTTATTCGATAGACTGCACAAAGGATATGAATTCTTCAGAAGAAAAAGTGAATGCCTGATTAAAGTCTTTCGAAAAGCAATGATTTTCTCTTGACAAAACCTTTTTATATCACTCCAGGAGAGTAGCTTCCCTCGCGTACTGACGATATACTTTCAAGACACCTCAATTAACAGCTGTTTGTTTCAAATTCTGGCAAAATATCCTAATGAGTCATTTCCTTTGCAATTAACCGTGACATAAACAAAAATATGCTTCGTTTTTTTCTCTCTTCGATACGGCGAATCAGGAATCTTTCATCAGCATGGAGCGTGGCTATGTCTGCACCGAAAATGTGCACATATCCTTCGATAAAACGACGAGACAAGTCATTAGAAATTCGTTTTCATTTTATTCAATCAAATAGCACAAGCAGAAGAAAAAGAAAAGAAGAAATATCTGAAGAGAAGCAGAAGAGAAGAAGAAAAAAAGAAAAAAATATATATTGTTTTTTTCCAGTTCTTTATCTTCATTTCACATGTAATACAAGTACGAACATACCATATCAACAGATAGACAAACACTGTGTAAAGGAGAAAAAGTAAATGAATTATCGGAATAGACGAAGAAGAAGAAGAAGAAGAAGAGAATTTATGATCACAATTCGTTTTATTTTTCAGACAATAAACAAAATCTTGACCATAGGTCAAAAAATACATAAGAAACAAACGAAACAATCAGAAATGTTCAACCTAGAAACAGACAATGATCGAAAGAGTGACTTAGTGAAGGTGTTCTCTTACTTTAAATGTCCATGTTCCTGTATAAACATCATAATCGATGAACTTTCCTTGGAATTTCTTTGTCATTTCAAGTAAATAGTTTCCATAATTCATCTCAATCAATCGATCAGGATCAGTCACTTCTTCACCACCATTCGATATCGAACGATCGATTGGGTAAACGCCTAATAAAGAGATGCGCGCTTGACAATTCAACTCTTCACCTTCTGCCGGTTTGCGACTATCATCAGGATAAACAGTTACTTGTCGACGATCGATTTCAACTAGAAATTCTCAATAATAGACGCAATTCTATTCAGGAGTTTCTTACTTAATTGGTTAAGATCAAGACCTGCTACATTGATTTTTGCACCCTGAAATGTCACCGATCCATAATGTTCTCTTCCGACAGTAAATTCCTTCACAAAACACTGTCCTTGTTCGTTAAAACAATGCCGTAATTCATCAATACTTGGTTTCGTATAATAATCATCATGTGTCAATCTTGGTAAACGAAAAGCTCGCTCTTGTTCGAACGCATTCTTCACACTGACTTGTCGATCTTCTTCTACATGACGAATGGTGTCAACCGCTGGTTTTTTTGAAGCTAGATACGCGTCGTATGTAGCAAATTTTTTCCATGTCGACAAATTGTCTGATGTTGGTTTGACTACATATGTGTCTGAAAGATTTTCTTCTTTGGTAATTGTCTCATTAGTTGTTCCATTGCTCAAACCACCAAGAACAACTGAACGAATTTTGTTCATGTCAAGAACACGTGGCCGTTTAATAGCATTGTTTTTCGATAGTTTATGAATTGCTGTTGATGTCGACGAGGGTCCATCGTCCATCATCAAAGAATTGTCATCGTCATCATCAAGAAATGAGTCAGCTAACTTTCGTTTGCCAAACAAAGCGATTGATGCACTTGCATTGGATGATGGCAAGAGAACAGATGGTAATGTATGAGAATGGGTTGGTAATGGATTTACTAAAACTGTGGGAGGTGTCGATGTACCGGATGCAAGCACAGATGTTTTAGTCACAAGAGGCGAGAAGACATTGTTCAATGGATGAGCATTTGTCGAGTCAGGTGCAGTGCGAAGACGAGCTCGATCCAGGCCAATATTTGGCTACGATGATTATGGACGAGGTTTTATATATTTCCAATGAAGAGAAAGGTGAATTTTACTTTGATGTTTTTGGCCAGAAAGGCAAGTTCATTGTTGAATGGTTGTATGTTAAGCATGGTTTGAAACAATTGCAAATGAGTCTTTGTATCAACAGAGGATTGGGTGGTAAGAATAGGTGGCATGGCTGTTGGTTGCGTTGCTGCTGAAAATAGTGTAGCTATAAGAAAAGAAAATGCAAGAATAGTTTTCTTCAGTGAATGAATCGTTTACGAGCAGTAGTTGAAGCTGCTGTTGCTGTCGGAAAGAGACCAAATGACGGCACTGTTGTTGCCGATGCTGTCGATGTTGCTGTTGCTGGTGTAAATGAAAACGTTGATGCAGTGGTTGGCTTTGTGACTGAAAATCCGAATGAAGTTGAGGGTGCTGTACTAGCAGCTGGAAACAATGATGAACCAGTGGTACCACCTGAAAACGAGAGAAAAACGACGTGTTTTAAATTGCATACTTTGTTCGAATAACGTACCAAAAGAAAATGTTGGTGCAGTTGCAGTTGCTGCTGGTTGAGGTTGACTGCTACCGAATGTAAATGGTGCTGCTGTAGTAGCTGGTGCAGAACTTGGTACACTACTACCAAATATACTAGGCTATATAGAAGAAAAGTACATTGTTCTTTTGTTTCAAATTCAAATTCGGTGCCGGCATACTGGATTTGCTGTAGTCGTTGTTGACGAACCGAATGGAAATGGTGTAGTGTTAGCTACTGTTGTCGTGGCTGGTGTCGAACCAAATGAAAATGACTAAATGATAAGACTGATGTTATACCTTCGAAGACATCTCTATGGATATGTACCAATGATGATGCTGTCGTTGCAGCTGGTTTATTTCCGAATAAAGTGCTGGTTAGTGTTGGTGCAGTCGTCGTCGCCGCTGTCGAACCAAACAGACTTGGTGTTGATATTGCAGCTATTCAAAAGGATATATAGCTTGAATGAAGTCTTTCTTGTTGTTAGCTGAACACTTACGATTTGTTGTTGTTGATGAAACACCAAATGGAGATGTTGTGGATGATGCTGGTTGAAACAAACCCGTTGCTGTCGTGGTCGACGATGGAAATTTTCGATTATCAACATAATCTTCTAATCGAATTTCCTGAATGAAAGGAAAAATGTAATAGTAGATTCGAAATTATTGCACAGAAACAGATATTCAATCTACCTCCATTGACTTTTTCTCATAGACTGGCATCGCACATAAATTATAGATCTTTGTTTTAATTTGAACTTGAATGTTGTTTCTATTCATTTTATCGATCCCATTTACAGGATCGAACTTATGGATCGAACCTGTTCCCGACGAGGAACCTTGCAAAGTTGTCGAGGCAGGCGTTGATGCACCTAGCAGATATAAGGAAACATCCTTTTACTTCGATCTACTACAAAAATCATCATCTTCTTACCAAACAGAGTTGTTGAACCGCTGAAAGGTGTTAATGGAAGTGTACTCGGTTGTGTTGCTGTAGTATTACCAAAGAATAATCCGCTACCCGTTCGCGTTTGATTCACAGGTGTTGATTGTGCAAACAGACTTGTATTACTAGATGGAGTCGCCGTTAAATTAAAAAGACTCATTGTGGTCTATGTGTTGAAAATATCGTAAACACAAATCTACAAATAAGAAGGAAACGAATGTTTGATTGAGCTGATTTTGTTAATCAATTTTGTTCCAAGATAAAATGAAGAATGAACAAGAGAGAGATTTTAGAAATATTTGTGTACAGAAAACAAGTAGATCAGAAACCAATTAACAAGGAAAAAAAAAGAAACACAAGACATATACACAAACTAGTTTTGATTCATAATCATAAAGTCTAATTCTAATACTTAACTGATGTTACACATGGACATTAAAGAAGAAAAAACACGAAGAAGTGTACAAGGAGTGACAAAAAATTATTCTAAAGCTTTTTTCTTATTTGATTAATTTTGCTTATCTCGATTCTCTTTACTGTTCATTTTGAATGACAAAAAAAGAAATGTTTTTTTTCCTCTCTATAAATATCAGGACACATATACAAGACGAAATGCATTGCTCATTCTATAGGCTAGGATATGTCAAAGTATCTGACCATTCGCGCAAAAAAGGAAAACATTGACATTGTTTGATATTGAAATTTTAATATTTCCGAACAGTATTTGACTAGGAAATAGGCTATTCGATCAAAAAGAACAGTAAATAAACAAAACAAAACAGAAAACAAAACGAAGATTGAGCACACATACTAGAATAGATCTCATGACGTTTATCGTTGCAAGTTTTCAGTTAACTGGCAGGTAGAACTGAGCTGTTTGCATATATGTATGTATGTGTGTATATATGTATATAGAAAAAATCGACAGATACAAAAAGAAAAGAAAGAAAGAGATATTTTATTTCAAAAACGGCCTGAATCGATTGGATGGGAAGTTTGTGGAAGTTTTTGAGAATCGATACGAAGATAGGATGAAGGAACAAAGCCAGTTGAACCATCCGGCTTTTGTATACGTGTCCAGCCGTCTCCTTGATCATCTTCTAAGATGTCAACACATTCACCAACAAAGATTGATGCTGCATTCACATACTGACAACCATTAGTACCATGACCTGTTGAAAAAAGTTTGCGAAGTGAAATCGATGATTTCTTAGATGGTTCTTACCAGTGAAATCGTACAATGCATAAGCTTTCCGAATTGCTCCACCGTTGATTTGTGGCTGATATAAACTGTCCGAATGATCGATCGCATTCGAATTTTCATCGTCGAGACTTTCGTCTTCGAATGAACCATTGTGTTCGTCATTGGTTATCGTGTCTAACGATAGTTTTGTAGTCATATTGTTTTGATGCAACGTTATGGATGTCACCGATGGTAAACGATGAAATTCTTGTGTAGGTGTTAAGTTTTCCGTTAAATCCGGTGGACTAAAATGTACATAAATAACGAAGTGATTTACAATATAAGCAGTTCGAAAGTATTCTGAAGGAGAAAGAGAATTTCCATGCTAGAGAAGTTTTCCCCACTAAATCTCATTTTAAAGAAGAATATCCGTTCTAAAGAGGATGTATAAAAGATAGATAGTTGCTAACCAAATCGTCGTCGACCAACGTCGGTTGATATTCATCATATTATACTTAAACTGCGGTGAATATTGTTGATGAAAATAGTGAAAGCTAATAAGATTTAAGTGTGAGATTGTATAACAAGATGATAGAATTATGCATAAAGTGTAAACTAATCATGTTTAATTTACCTTCGGTTCTCTCCGGGTGTACTTGGTTGTGAATTGTTATTATTAGCCGTGCCTATTGATTGATCGGAACCATAATTCGTTCGTATACGAGATGCGGAATCATATTCCGATGTACTTGGAGCTCGTGTTCGTTCAATTTCGGCAATGTATGACTGAAATAGAGAACTAGTTGGATTTTTTTGTTAAGGAAAAATACGCGATATTGACTTCGAATCGTTTGATTTCGGCTAATAATTTCTCGATGTGATCATCAATAGCGATAATCTGCTGTGTAACATCTTGTTCATCACCAAATTTGGGATTTTCTTGAAAAACGAGTCGCATTTTAGCCAAGCCTTCTCTAAAAATAGCCGCAAACAGATTGGATTCCGATTAGTCCTATTCTATATGAGTCCGCATTTACTTGGCTTTTTGCTCTTTTTCTAGTTCACTTCTACAATTGATAATTTGTTCTTGAAATTTTTTCAAACGTTGAGCCGGTGGCAAGGAACTATAAGGTGTGTTGACTGTAGATGATATTGCACTGCCATTATTTGACGGCTGAAAAGCAAAACAGAAGTAATTTAATCTTTCTGTTGTTTATCTAAGATGTGAAAAATCAACAGAATCAATTTTGAAAATCTATCAGTCGATAAAAGCATCTTTTTTTACTATAATATACTTCTAAAAGAAGGCTGTTTCTATTCCGGATCTACAAAACATAAATGTCAGAAAGACAGCGACTGAATCTGCACTACTTACAAGTATTGACTATAAACAATAGGAGAGTAATCGAAATACAAGTTTTATACTCAGGCTAACTTACTTTTCTTTGAGATGAACTTCCAAAGATTTTTCTGATTGTACTTGCTGTTCCACTACTTTTGCTTCCCACTGTTTTCCTTGAACCCATCGCTGGTGTCGTCATCAATGTTTGTGTGCCATTAACATGGCCACTGGCATTGCCAACGGCATAAATCGTGGCGACGCCATTTTGATTACTATGATCACTTCCCGAACTTCTCAACGTATTCGATCGGGCTAATTCCATGGGTGTCGGGTGGTGAGAGTTGTGTAAATTCATATTATACACTTGCTGATCGTGTCCATTACTACTTCCATTCAGTAGTATCGATGGGAGATCCATGGCATTTAGATCGATCTAAACAAGAAGAAATTGAAGTAGATCGAAAGTCGATTGTCATCGTTTGCAATTCACTTCTCTTTCATCTTCTGGTATTCCATAGCCAGATTTGTATTCTTCGATGACAACTTGTGCGTCTGTACAAGCATTCAATTGTTCAGTCTGTTTGGTCATTTCATCTAAACACCGCTGTATTCTTGGTAAAACTTCTGCGTGTGATTGAATAAATTTAATATAAACATCTTTTAGTTCATCCGAACGTTTATTATCCAATTGTTGCAAATCCGTTAGAATACTCGGCAGTTGTCTTTCGTAGAATAAACGTTGAGTATCATTAAAAAGAGATACTTGAGAGGAGTAATTCGTATGCGCATCATCACATATTTTCGTCTTCGATGTCATCGTGTCACGAGCTTTCTCGAGCTGTGCACGCGATAAATCAAGATCTTCATGAGCTTTTTCATAGCTTTCCTTGGCACGACGTGCAGATTCATGGCATTCTTCATATTTTCGCAAGGACTAGAAAGAAAGCGATACATAATAGATGTAAGAACACGAGTTCATCATCATCCTCTTCTTAGACTCTAAACTACGACACATATCGAAAGGTTAATTAGTATCGTACCAAGCATTCTTTCTGATAAACATCAAATTATGTTCATTGTCACATATGCTTGACTAGTTTCACAGTTGTTTTCCTCTAAAACATGAAGGTGAAATCTCTTACGAATCCTTTCAGTTCGCTATTTGCATGAATGAACATTTGCCTTTCGAGCACTCTTATCTTTTCTGATCCTATTAACTGACTGAATGACATTTACATAATTTTTCTATACATCATTGTAGTTCCTATTCAAATAAATAACATACTTTAATCATTAGTTCATGTTGTTTATCGAGCTGACGTTTGATTTTCGTATATTCGTCTAAGCATTTCTTTCGTTGTTCGCGACATTCTTTGACTGTTATTTGAATTTGCTTGACTGAACGTTCACGAATGTTTTCAGCGATCAATTCATGTTGAGATGCAAGATCCTGCAGTTCTTTCAACGCCGAACAAAAAGCAATCGTAAATGTATATCTATTCACAAATCAAACATGAGACGAGTCATTGAGAAATAACTATGGTATTTTACTTGTTGTAGAATTCTTCTTGATCTTTTAATTTTGGTGTGTAGGTTTTGGTTAGTTTTTTTAATGCTTTGGCATATTCATCTTCGACTGTACAACGATCTTTGAGAAAGGATTCGTATTTTTCACAGAATTGCAAACTTTTGTCCGTATATTTCGATACATTATCGAATTGATCCTGAAATGAACGGATAGATCAACAAATAGAACATTGACATGAAGCAATGACATACCCAAAGTTCAACTCCCCAACTTTGGTTTAACATTCTTCGATTTCGTTTGTTTTCTTCGTCGTCGATCGATGTGAGATTCGCCTATAAAATCATCTGCAAAGAGAGAAAGAGAAACGAACATGACTATAACCTTATTCTATCCACATATGAATATCGTTCATGTCTGCAAGCGTTAGTTGTGCGATAAACCTTGACAAACAGGAGAACGAATAATCGTTTGATATGGATCATAAAGGATGTCATGACAAATAGTTTCGTCATTGAGCGGATCAAACGATGAACGAATAGATAATGCAAGAAAAAAAAACTACAAGAACCATTTCGAATCGTCCAACATACGAGAAGAATGTTACGATGGTCATTCATATCAACCAATAGGAAGATAATTGATAACATGTGCCTTCTATTTAGCTCAGCTATTATTCGAATAAACACAAGTTAAATGACTCATGGTACAAAACATTAGAAGTGTTCATTGCTCGAGTTTGTTAACGATCAACTTATGATCGTACCTTATTTCAAAGAGTTATCTAAACAATAACGTACCCCTTGACCTTCGCATCGACGAATTCCAAACACTTCACACAAATGTGTTTTAACCTACTGGTAAAAAGATTTAATGAATCGAAACCCTACTCTAATTTCAATGTTATTCTTGTCGAAGAAACACAAATAACATATAGGGATTGCTTTCTGATATCCTTTACGTATGGAGTCATTATTCTCTCTCGTTAGTGACAATAGTTCACATAACGTACTACCAATAAATCACTCGGGTCTGTTATTATTCTCATGAAACTCATCAATCAATGCCGCTATACTTCATGTTTACCATAATGGAAATTAAAACAAAAAAGAAAACGAAGAATTCTTCGATAATCGTGAAGCAAAAATGCGAAATCTGAAGAATGAACACAGAACGAATAGACGAGCGACACGAAGAACAAGAGATATCGGTCAAGACGAAGGTTAAACAAGGTGATGACAGTGGACAGAGTGTGGGACGATACGAATAAACATAAGACGCCGGTGTCATACTACAATCGCGTTAAGTAAACAATATTCACTGAAGACAATAGAGGGGGAAAGGAGAAGAGATAGACAATAGAATGTGATAAAACTTGGCACGTCATCTAATTGTCCAGACTAATGATTTAATGAATAGTTTCATCTTAATTATACATGTTTTGAAGAGAAAACTCGATGTATTCTAATACCAATGTTCTCTGTCGAATGCATAAAAATAATGAAATATGATGAAGAACTGTGTACTTGACTTTTATACTCATTAGTTTATTACGAATATAAAAAACGAACAGAATGGAATGGGACACAACGAAAGAGAAAATTTTTTCGATGAGAATGTCTATCTAAATAGCATAATATGTATCATACGTGTTTTTATTGCAAATGAAATGAATGTGCTTGTCGAGTTTGTTTTTTTCAACAACATCAAATACTTTCATTACACAGGGGAATCGAATACCTACTGATTTGATTCGTTCACGAAGGAAAAAAACTGACAAAGAAGATCCTTGAATCTCAATGTATGACGACCTTTCGAATAAATCTACTTTCGAGATAGAGGGAACAAACAAAAAACGATGTTCGTTCGTTCGCTCCTCTTTCTTTTTCTTATTTCAAGTTCAACCGCCAATGACTCATCCAAGGAAATTTTCATTCTATCGCCATACTCATTAAACATTGGTCTTTGTATTTTTCAAATCAGAAATCTTCTCGAACGACAACTGAATTTCAAAATACGATGAATGTTTTTTCAAAAAGCAAAACCAAATTATTCAATTCAAAGAGCAGTTAATAACGACATCTATAATCGACTATCCAATTGTTTATTTCCTTTCTACAGTCGACATGCGCATTAGTATTCCTCATCCTCACACAACTACTATTGTATTGCGAAAATGGATCTTGCGTCATTGAAAGCTGAGATTGAACGTAAACGAAAAAATGTCGAATCGATGAATGTTTTACTACCGGAGAAGAAATGCTTTCGACGTGGTGATCTGGAAGCGAAACACGAAGAAACTTATTGGAAAAACTATCAATCCAAATGCGCCGATCAATCGAATGCAGCATCATCGTCAACAACGGATGCGACTTCGGAAGAATCAGCTACAACGGCGAATGAACATGTTACATTACCTCCAAGAACAGATGTTATCAAGAAATTACGTGAACGAAATCAACCGATTCGACTTTTCGGCGAATCGGATATCGATTCGTACCGACGATTGAGATTGCTCGAAACAACAGAACCTGAACTGAAAGGTCAACGCAATGATTTCAAAACTGGTTTGTTTTCCTCCGATCTTCTTGATTTAATCCTTGACTTTCTCGTATTTTCCTTGCAGCTATGGATAAAATTGATCGTGAATATTTGGCTCATATTCTCAATGCAGATAATCCATCAGCATTAGAAGATACCGACAAAGAAATCGATGACGAGAAAGACATGGGTCCACCACTTCCAAATCAAACCGAAGAAATAAAAGAAGATAGCGGATACGATCTACCAGACATTATTGAACAAATCAAAACGACACGGAAAGGCAACCGAGCTTACGATTGCCAAGTTGTGTTGAATTATTTCAAATTCATCCTGAAAAAATGGTCACATGAGTTAAGCGAACGAGACATAGATGAGAAGAAGTCTGTACAAGGAAAAATTGAAACAGCACTACATTCTCAAACATGTGCATACATGAAACCACTGTTTCGCAAGTTGAAATCGAACGCTTTGCAAGATGATATATTAGAATCATTGATTAATGTGGTCAATTGTGTTTTGAAGAGAAATTATATTCGAGCCAATGAGTTTTTCTTAGAAATGGCTATCGGCAATGCTCCATGGTAAGATATAACGAAGTTTTTTTATACGCAGTTTTCAGCATGAATGAGAGAGAGCGAGTGTTTTGCTTTCAACAAAATTAATCATTTTCGATCGATAATTCGAACACGATGGCCTAGGTGTTTCTATCGTTGTGCAATTTCATTAACCAGTTAAATTACCAAGAAAAAAAAACTAGAACCGATATTACCGAGCATTTTATTAGTTAGTGATGACATCTTGTGTGTTTAAACGAAATTATTCGCTCTTTTCGTGATTAATCAGTTGTTTTTATCACTTGTCATGACCTAATCGCAGTTAAAATGATTGATGAGTTTCGTTTCGTATTTATATCGAATATTATTATCAAGCATAAAATGATATTTATTATAGCTAATGGTCGTTTGAGCTTGATTTTCTCGCCATCATACGTAGCAATTTATCAGTTATTAAGGCATAGTGTGAAAAGATGCGTAATAAAGAAATCAAATAAATTAACACTCATAATCACACCTGCAAACACATGTTAGGAAAAACGAAAAACAAAACAAAGAAAATTTAGAATTAATAATTATTTTTCATCATGTGAAATATTGGCGATATTTGTGTAATAGTTATAGTTTAATTCGGATTTTGCGTGTTTAGGCCACTCGGTGCTACTATGGTCGGTATTCATCCACGTCCAGGTCGAGAGAAAATTGCATCGAAGCATGTGGCTCACGTTCTCAACGACGAAACTCAACGGAAATATATTCAAGCTGTCAAACGTCTTGTCAGCAAAGCACAAAAACTCTATCCAAATGATCCTTCAAGATGTGTCGATTATGGGCAACGTAATGATAATGTAACGATCATTCCTACTGGACATACTTAGAATGGAAAATGTACATAGTTTTATTTTGTTTTTTCTTTCGCCTATCACAATGTGCACTGGTGTGTAACTTGATAGTATTCATGTGTCGATGTAATTTGACGCGTATCTCCTTTTTTCATCATTTGCGGTCTCTCTTTTTGTATTTGTATTCGAAATAGAAAAAAAGGAACATTAAGAAACTAGAAAATATTGAAAGAGAAAAAGGATAGCAACCATGACTGATTTATTTATAAATAAAAAGAAAGAAAAAAGAAGAGAACCATTATCTAATACCGTTTTGCTACTATTGATCAGTACGCAGTCGTGAACCCTTCTTTTCCAAAAAAAACACTAAAATCATCTAGTACTAAATAGAAACAAAATGGATATAAAACTTGTCGTTCTCTTCTATAAAAGCTATTTTGTTGTAGCGTTAATGTTTAAATAGTGAGAGTTTAAACATAAAAACAGTAGGCAGCATGACAACCCATGGGTGGCATCGGCTGAGAACGACCGTCACCACCAACAGTGAAACAGATAGCATGTGGCGGTATACGTGGTTGAGCTTGTGCAGGAGTAGGAGGATAGCCAGCACCAGCTGCACCATAACCAGCGGCACCGAAGCCAGCACCAGCAGTACCATATGCACTAGTAGGGGTAGGGCCATACGCGCTACTAGGAGTAGCACCGTAGGCACCAACAGGAGGGGCAGCACCGTATGCACCAGAAGAAGCACCAAAGGCACCGGTGGGAACAGCAGGATAACCAGCACCATAATTAGCATTTGGTGCACCATAACTAGCTGATGCTGAACTGTAATCAGCTCCGCCAGTACTGTAACCACCACTAGCTGAACCGTAACTAGCACTGCTGGTCGCTCCTGCACTGTATCCGCCCGAATAACTGGCACCAGCTGGCTGTATGGCACCGTTGGCAGCCTGTGGAATGTTGCCATAGCTTTGAGTGCCGGTCAATTCAGGTGCACCTCCACAACCTGGCGGTGGATTTGGTTGTTGAGCAGGACCTGAACCACTTCGCGGTGGTACGCGAACTACACGTTTAACTACTTGAGGTGGGCCAGCTGGTTCGACAACTGTTCGTTCTTGGAGACGTGGTGGTGGGGTAGTTGGAATTTCAGTAATTTCTTCTATACATTCGGCAGCTGTACGTTGGATGTAACTATGTCAAGAAAAACAAAGACAAATTAGTATTTGAAAAAGAAAATGAAATGGGCATATGCTTACACTCGTTCTAATGTGTCTGGTTCAGGAGTTGGAAGACGACGACGTATTTGACGTGGTGGTCCGGCAGGTTGTTCGGGACAACGAATAACTTGACGACGATGACGACCTGGTCGTCGTTGTCCTTCACCGGCTGGTGGACAGCCCATTGAACCACTGCTTCCTTCGTATGAGGCACCCGCCGCACCGTAGAGTCCATTGGAAGAACCTCCGTTTTGTCCGTTTCCGTTGCCACCATTTCCTCCGTAAGAATAACCACTTTCAGCGGAATATTGTTGGTAGGAACCAGCAACAACTGGTCCATCTGCTCGACCGCTGATTCGGCGAGCACCAGCTGTTGATGCACTGCGCGTACTTGATGATGAACTACTTCGTTGAATACGATGACGTTCGCTACGTCCGCTACGATCAATATTATCGACTTGAGAAGAAGATCGTTGTTGCGTCAATTGACTTTGAGTCGGTGAAACTCGTCGCACACTTTCAACTGCTAACGATTGTACGGATCGCGCGTCACCATGATCTCCGCGTGATTGTTCAGAAATTATACTCATCTTTTCAGTAGATAAAGTTTATATCTTCCTACAAAGAAATAACCTTTGATTCTAATAAATAGGCAAAATTAAATAAGAGAAGAAAGTGGTTTTGGAAAAGGAGAGAGAGAAAAATGAATCGGGATCGAAGTGTGACTCTCACCTGTACGATAATTGTGGTTAATAGTTGGCCACTTTACAATGCAACCTATTACTGGCGGACGATGGAAATGATAAGCGAAAAATATAAAAGGAGAGAAAACGATGTTGAAGGCCATGAATATATAGAAATTGACAGAGAGAGAAAGTTAGGCGACAAACCGTATGTCAATATCCTCTGTGATTATTCAAGGAGAACAAAATACACAAACATAGAAATATCAACCACTATCTGTTTATGACTGTACGTGTGTTTTTCGATTTTGATCGGTATAAAACATCAGTCGATCTAAGAAAAATGAATGTGCAAAACATAATCAGAACCAACGACACGAATAATGTGACGATCGTGATAATGAAAATGATAATAATAATGTTGTTGATGATGACTACGGCAACGCTGATGATGTGATAATGATGCATTTTACATACTGTAAGACTGCTTAAACTCAAATGTCGAGAGAAATTTTATTGAAAAAAAAAGAAAGAAGCAAGGCGAAAAAACGAATCGCAACAATCGAATATTTTTGTGTTGAGCAAATGCAATTAATACTGAAATGTAGAATCATATGGTCATATCTATTGAATAATTACAATCATTAATTGAAAAGAAACAGATAAAGCCAATTTTTTGTCAATTAATCTTATTCTTGCAACAGAGCATCGAACGATTAGCTTCAAATCGTTATAACCATTGCCATCTATCGACAAAGAAATAAAGGATATGAGATATTTTTTAATTCGCCATTTCACTCAACCATCACCATAAACAGATTGTTTCATAAAATAAGAACATTTCGTTTTTTAGAAATAAAAAATAGAAATTTCCTTTGTTTTCATTCGAATATAAAAGAGTAAAACATGATATTTTCTCGAAATCAATTCAAAATTCTGTCAAAGTCTCGTGCCGAATAAAGACATCTGGGTTTTTTCTGCTTTTTTTTTCTGTTCAATGATTAGTTCAAAACATCTCATATCTTCTAGACATAAATGATGCTCGGTAATGGCTGAAAAAGTCACACTAACCACATATCCATACTCAACAGAATCGACAAATGTAATTATCGATTATCCTGATGATCTTAGCGAAGAAATCGAAGATGAGGAAATCAGCCAGTCTGCATATCCTTCAGTAGCACCACGACAACCATCGATCCTGTACAATTATAACAATGGCCATCAGCATTTTTCTCCTCCAGTTACAGCAGCGTCCCCACCAGCACAATTCGACCTGCTACTAGGCGGCGACGAAGATGATGATGATGAACAAACGGCGACTTTACTGGCGCCTACGCCTATACCTATTCAACGTGTATCATCCGAAGATGAAATCAACTTGTATTTAAAACGTAAACGTGCCAAATTCATCGGGCCGTACCTCTTCGGTGAAATGATCGGGCAGGGATCGTATGCTAAAGTGAAAGAATGTCTAGATCGTCGAAATCTGTGTCGACGTGCAGTCAAAATCATGCAACGTCGTCGGTTACGGAAAACGCCACATGGTGAGAAAATGGCTGCCACAGAAATTCGCATCTTAAAGAAATTAAATCATCCTAACATAATTAAATTGTACGATTTCATCCGTAATGATGAGAAACAGAAATTATATCTATTTATTGACTTATGTGTGGTGTCATTACAAGAAATGCTTGATGTCGATGATCAACAAAAGCAGCACCAGCATCAGCAACAACAACAACATCAACAAAAACCAAAAATATTTCCCACCTGGCAAGCACATGGGTACTTTGTTCAGTTAATTAGCGGATTGGAATATTTGCATTCAAAATTCATAATTCACAATGATATTAAGTATGTAAAAGAGAATAGTCAAACGGTTTCTGAGAAAGTCTTTTCTCTCGATTAGACCAGGCAATTTGTTGATCACGGTTGATCATCAATTGAAAATAACAGATTTTGGTACTGCAGAACAACTTGATATGTAAGCGCGAGAAGAAATTTTCTTCGCTAGAATAACCGTTCTGTTATGTTGTAGGTTTAGTTCTGATGATACAATCAAACGAAGTCAAGGTTTGTACATGTTTGAAATAACCAAAAAACTTTCTTTTTTCCTTATCATCGATGTCATCAGTATTACTTTATCATTGTCCTCTATCGACATTATTAAGATTCTCAGTGTAGTTGTTATCTGATTGCTAGCGAATCTCAACGGAAAACATTCTTGAAAAAAACTAATTCCATCGATTTTCCTAGGTACTCCTGCTTTTCAATGTCCGGAGATAGCAAATGGCGAGGATACTTACAGCGGTTTTTGTATCGATATATGGTCATGTGGTGTCACGTTGTATAATCTAGTTACCGGTCGTTTACCATTCGAAGCCGATAATATCTATTTATTGTTTCAAACAATTGGAACTGGAATCTATACCATTCCCGACGATATTGAACCACATTTAGGATCTTTAATCAGTGGTTTATTACATGTCAATAAAAATGCACGTTTTACAATCGAACAGATAAAACAACACGATTGGTTTCGTCGGCGACCACCGCGTACATTCGATTTCCTACCATTTCCTCCTTTAGCACTGAACCGCTTTCAAACATTTACAATGTTTGATTATCTAACTGAATTACACCAACCATCATCAGAAACGAATGACGAACAATCACTGCAAGACAATAATAATGCTTCTGATCGTCCAATATCAGTTCTACATTCACCCTATGAAAGCCCACAAGAAAACAACTCCCATCAAGAACAATCAACACTACGGCGTACGAGAGGTCGGTCGAAATTAAACTGTGGGTGTAGTCGCACTATGAGTATTGATGAACTTCAACAAAACAAAAGTTCCAATAGGCAAAATCATCGGTTTTGTTCAATATCTTGATGCCTGTTCGTATTATTTCTATATTGATGAATAGTAGATTAGGTACAATTGTTTACTTTCTTCATTTCTTTCTCTCGCCTTCTTACACACACAACACACATACATTCGTACATCGATTCAACATTGATATGTACGTTTTACATTCCTCTATCATTTTGTTTCGTTATACACGCACATTCAGAACAGTTGTTTTCTCTGCTCGTACATTTGTTTTCTTTTTCATACACTTGTTGTTGCAACAAATGGCAATGATAGACACAAGCGTGAATGATCTATTCAAGGTCGTTTCATGCTTTTATTTTCTGTATGAATGTGTTTCGTACTCTCTTCGTGTGTGATAACAGCAGCTAGCTGTCCATTCAATTTCTTCTCTTTTTCTTTCTCTCTTGTTTTGTTGATTAGATTAATGTCCTTATATTTCTCTATTTCGTTCATTTCTTCGTCTTCTTTTTATACATTCGAAGTCTACAATTTGTCAACTCGTATCAAACAAGAACAAGAACAACAAATAATGTGATGATTATAATGATCATTAGGCAAAAAAAAATGATATAATAGATCTTTTTATTTCAATAATTTTCTTGAAGGCGTAGAATAAAAAGTAAGATCTCTAATATAGAATGATACTGGAATACATGCAATCTATTCAGATGTTTGCGATATGTCTATCTGTCGTTCCTGTTTCCAATTGAACAGGAAATACACAAGAATGTATTTGAATAAGATATGAGCGTTGTCTTTAATGCGTTAATGTTTCAGAACAAGGCCGTGCGCTTTGTTTATATCGTTGTCATCAGGTCTGTATTCACCAAGTTCGAGTCTTTCAGCAAACGTTGATAAATAATTAGCAAAACCTGCAGAAAGAAGATGACACGGGAAATGTTTTTCGTTTCTATAGCAAATACTGAGAAAAACTTACTTCCGTATTTAATATCTCGTACCGGTCGATTATGATTCCACTCGATCACAGGTGTTTCTTCTTGTCCGTCGTCACCACTAGTCTCGACATAGCGTATGTCACTATTGGTGCTTGTTAATTTTAATAGAGGAATCATAAACGATGGTTTGAAATCTACAAGATGAGTTTTTTGAACTTTTCGCTGTTGTTCATCATTCCATTGAATTATTTCACATAAAGGCAACCAACGCCAGGAACCAAACAGACCTGTCGATTCTTTCGATTCACCATCATAATATGTATAAGCTTCGCGAACCGACGGAGGAAACTTCGCGCCGAGAATTGCTTCTGCTTTGTCAAGTTCGTCTACAGATAGACCAGGTTTATTCAATTGTCGAAGAAGACTAGGTGCGTGTGTAGATAACCAATTTTCGATGCGTACAAATGATTCAGGAACACTCATGTCTGAAAAATAGTCGATTAGTATAATCTTCAAACAAATCATTCTTATCGCAAAAAGAAAAAATAACACTCGTTCGAAAATATCGAATCATACAGTATGACATGAATACGAATGAGCCCTATTTTCGACTAAAGGAAGACAAAAAAAATTTTCTATTGAATAAACTAATGAGAATGGATGATATGAAATCTGTCAAGTTGAATGATACTTATAATCTATTTGAATTGCGTGACGTAAGTACACGAAAGGAGAGAAGAAATGCTACGTATGGATTACTTAATTATCTTTGTCATTTATTCTAAAGGCAAATAGTTGGCCCAGAGAAAGAAACAAGTTGGCATTCTTTACTCAACTCTGGTAAATAATTTTATTGCCAGCTGACCTTTCGGCATGTTGTAAAAATGAAAAACAAGAAGAGAAAAAAAGGAAAAGTATCATTCAATTTGCTTCTTTCGGACAATCAAAGAGGTCGAAATATCAGTAAAAAAAGAAAACAAGATGATAATCATATACAAATTTGTAAAAAAAAACACGAAGAATGGAAGGCGAAGGAAAAGAAATTGTGACTGTTTTACTTAAGATTTCGTCGACAAGATCGGCGAATTTTCATCGAGCTCTTCGTTCGGAAGATTGATCGCCTTCGTAGTAGTCGTGTGTGTACGATAAAGTATGTAGTGTTGTACAATAAACAAGATATCGAACAAAATTGAAAACAATCCTAAGCCAAGTTTCGTCGGCGAGCCAAATATCGACGACCAATCATTGTAATTGCTTGCGAGTAGGAACATTTGCAATAAACTGAATAATCCGCCAGTGAAATCTAAGAGAATGTTGCCAATCGACCAGCCTTCGGTTGATTTACGTTTGAAATTCATCCATGCCTGCGGGCAATATTTTATAATTGTAATAAATAATTTCACGTATGAAAAGAAATATAGCAAATCTAATGTAGACAAGTGTTTTGATGTTGAAACGATGGTTGAGATGAGTAGAAATACAATGCATACTCCACCAATGATTCTGGCGACATAGGAAACACGTTGATTGCCTCGATCGAAGAATAAACACTGGATAACAGTGACTACACATGCAAAGACAGCATGACAACTGAAGATAACCTAAAATGAAGAATTTCTCACTTTATCTTACACAACTCTCTCTCTCTCTCTCTCTTATCGAACATACGTCATTCAATAGAACAGGTAAAACACCGTGTGGGTGTTTAGCATAGTACTGTTGTTGGACGTTGCTTGATAGGTACATATAAAGATTGAAAACCGAATAACATGAATGTCCAAGAATGTTTAAAGCTAAGAAATCGAAATTAAGTCCAATAACACTTCGACGTTGAAAATTCAAGATTATCTGAGGGTAAAATGATATTGACCATGCAATGAAATATATCCAGCCGACAATTTGAATAAAAACATCAGTTACACGACTGCGGGCTATGTCGATGAGAATGAAATCGACTGTGGATGATAAATTTACCTGGGACGATTGTGGGATTACAATCAAATGACCTTCATGGCGACCGGTAATGGCAATTTCTTGACTTGTTGCGTTTGTAAATGTAATATCTGGTATAAGGTCAATGTAGCCTTGAGTATCATTCAATTTATCATCGTATTGGAATGCGATCGTAATCGGAAAAGTCACATTCGACTTGACAAGATGAACAGTAACAGGCTGGCGTTGCCCAATGAAAATGCTAAGAGATGAAGGCTTGAAAGATACCACCGACTCATCTTGTTTCGTTAATGTAATTAAAAGCAGAACATAAAGAATTCGAAATATACAAACTAAATGCATTCGAATAGACTAAATATTATCTACGACAAGAATGAAGTGAGAAGAATTCAAATGGAAAAATATGCTGTATCATCTATCATGCTGACCAAGCAGCAGACAGAGGTTAAGTACAAGCTCGTGTGATGTTGCTTGTAGATAGTAGTTCTATTTTTATCATTCACGAAAAATCGTGATGAGTAAAAAGAATTAATATTTAATTTCATTTTCAATGAGAAAATAAACAAACAAAAACTGCTTTTCATGGGTTTAATCGTTGAGCAAATCAGAATGCTATTGTCGCCACAAGTCATATGAATGGGAAAATATTTTCGGAGAATTTCTGAAAGTTTTTTTCAAAAATCTTAAGAAAATTTTCATGACAAATTTGCTTATTTTCGTCATGAGAAATCCTCAAAGTCTATCCAATTGACTGTCGCGATCCATTTCTTCGAGTGTCAATTCATCCATCCATCCTAGGCTCGACTCTTTTTCTCGCTTATGATAATGATCATATTCCGAACTGATCATCATGCTTTCGACGAACATTTGATTAGATTCGAAAGATTGCCTTTCAACTAATCGACTTTTTTTCGCGTTATTTTCGTCGTTTTTATCTGTCCATTTATCTCTTTGAAACGCCTACGCACTATGTATTGAATTTGTTTACTTGCGGTTGTCGATCGATAAATATTGCTAGAAATCATTTTTTTGCTCTTTCAGAGACTTTTTTCTTTTGTAAAAATCAAAGATTCATTCGATTTTTCACTTTTCCAACCAACATGTCGTATCTTCATTTGGCATCAGCTGCCAATTCGTCTTCATCGACGACACCGTCATCATATTTACATGTTAATAGTAATGGCGGAGTATCAACAGTACCGTCGACGATCGGTTCGAATTCTTCATCGTTATTCGGTTCAGTTGGCGGCGGAAAACAATGGACGACGATCGGACAGCCATCATCGTCACCGTCGTCATCATCTTCATTGGCACAACAATTATTGTTGAAACAGCAACAACAACAGTTGCTTAATAATCAGCAAACTAATTCGTTGAGTTCATCTTCGTCATCGTCGCATTTTGAAAGTATTCTAGGACTAACGATGGCATCGGCACTATCATCCCAAACACAGATGGAAAAGAATGTAAACATTGAGAGTTTGATTCTTATGGCAAATTTCCGTTTACTATTCAAATGTGTTTTAGTTTGAATTGCAACAAGAAGATTTTCCTCCATTACCACATCGAAGTAATTCCCATGAACCAACAACACCATCATCGTCATCTACGAATATTCAATCACTTTATCAAAATCAATTTTCTTCAACATCATCGACGTCAACATCCAGTCATCATCAACAAATTACTAATGGATATGGCTCATCTCAACAACAACAGCATTCACAATCACAATCACCAATATCATTTAAAACATCCATCGATGCGCTGAATACCTTGATAAGTCGGCATCAGACAGCAGGTAATAATAAACCGATATCGTTAACCAATAATTCAGCAACGTCCGCCTCAACATCCTCGTCGTCAACTACAACAGCAATATCGAATCCACAGCAAGTATCTAATACATCATCAACAACATCAGGCACAACAAATATGAATGGTTTGCCACCAACAGCCATAACAGATCAATATGGTCTAGTTGGTCTGTTACAAATCATCCAGCAAACTGAGAAGAACCCTGATATATCGCCATTATTGAATTGTGATCTGACTACGCTAGGATTGAGTACGTCGAGAAAGAAGTTTGTCTTTCATTATTCATTGAGATCTTTTCATTTAGGTATGGAGAGTCAAAGTGATCTATATCCATCGTTTCTTTCTCCGTTC